TATAATTTTTATAGCAAATAACCGTTATAAAAAAAATTATTACAAATTTTAAAACGCATAAATACCGAAATTAGTCTATCGCACTAATTTGAAAACCGAGATAATTAATCAAATTCAGATAATAATTTGCTCCAACAGTCCATAATACAATAAATTAATTAATTCAAATTTCTTTGAGCTACTCAATATATTTTTTTATTATTATTAAATAATTGCTCAATGTTATGTTTGATGATCGTATTGGTGTTGAAGAAGGCGAAATTTAAATATTATTCTTATTGTTTACATTACTTTTAATTTAAACCAACAATAAGAACAGAAATGATCCGGAAATTATCTTTATAAATTAAATGAATCTCCATATTCAGTATTAATAATAACATAATTTATAACCGAGGTATATTTATATTATTTAGAAATTGACATTGTTAATTATATAACTCGAAATATCTTGAAATGTCTTACTCGCTGTTAATCAAAATTTTATATATCCATGGCTCTCAAATCCTGTAATCGTCCTAAGTATACTTATTCGACGACGTAATTCGACGTATTACAATTTTTATAGGTATTACTAAGTAAAATAATTCGCGGACGTAATTGTTTTACTGTGAAGTATAGTCCTAAGAGCCTTATGACTATTTCATATTTATATAGTAAGGTAACCCAAGGTATTAGTACATATTTTGGAAGGTTGATTGTATGATGTCCACTAGTGGTGGACCAAAGCTATGTTACGTTGTTATATCAATTAGTATATTAAGTTTAGCAATACTAAGCTATCTAATGAAGTTATAAATTATTAAAAATCCTATTGTCTTCGTTCATATAATCATCCTTTTATTAATTGAGATATTACATTGAATCTGCTGAAATTGGTAGTATCAATATTTATTCATCTAATTAATTAAATTGGCTAGCCCTAATTGTTATTTCTTCAATTAATATTCAAATTTGCTTTCTATCTATTATAACTTCATTGATGCTGTTATTATCATTACGATAAGCCATTTTTGTTATATTTATATTTGATTTTATATAAATAACTAGTGGGAAACTTCTGGCAATTGTTATTTGTGATACATGCAGAGCTTCTAAATTTTATTTTATTTTACTTTACAAATAACGAATGGTGTAGGTTGCTTCGTGACCAGTTTTTTTTTACGGGATTGTTTTTTGGATTCCTTTTACATTTAGGATATTTTTTCATAATCAATAAGAATTTCCCTTTATATAGACATATTTTCTTAACAGATAAAGATTTTCAAGATACTTGTTAGCAATAACGATGTGTATCATTATAAATTTACACAAATGTAACCCGTAATTAATATAATCCTAATGATCTAATCACACACCAGCCATTGGTGCAAAGGATCAAATGGCTCTATTTTTAGTTTTAGTATATATAATGAGACCTTATAGTAAAACGTCCGCAGATTTATCAAGGTTTGCGTCACCAATAAAAAACAAATAGTCATCAAATCAACCAACTTACATTTCCAATTATAGTCCAATTAGGGTAATCGCTTATTATTATTTATATTAGGGTATATCTATATAAGATCATTCCAACTTCCTTTTCAGGAATTAAGAAACTGACCCGCAAAGACTTTTCTAAGTGACACTAACCATTTAACAAATAACACTAAACCCTTCAATTTGATGGAATGCTTACATGGCGCATTTTGTTAATTTTAAATATGATGCAGAGAATGCAATCGAACATGATAAGTAAAAATAATAGTATGATTATTTAATAATAATAATTAATAAACCAAAAAAAAAATGATTTCACTTATTAGGAAAACTGAATTTTAGCATTTTCTCTTAAAACTTTTCTTAAAATCTTTCCCGAAGCACTTTTAGGTATTTTATCAATAAAATGGACACCACCTCTCACCCTTTTATGAGGAGCAACTCTTTCTCCTACATATTCTTGTATTTCGGATGCTAATTGAGGAGTTTTTTCGTAACTCTCTTGAAGTGTTACATAAGCTACCGGATATTCAGTAGTTTTTTCTTCAAATTCTACCCCTATCACTGCAGCATCCAATACAGCAGGATGATCAAGAAGAATAGCTTCAAGTTCTGCTGGAGCTACTTGGAATCCTTTGTATTTAATTAATTCTTTGACGCGATCGACGATAAAAAAGTTTTCTTGTTCATCAACAATCACCACATCTCCTGAGAGATAAAATCCATCTTTGTCAAATGAAGCTTTTGTTCTTTCTTCATTATTAAGATAGCCTTTCATAACGTTCGGTCCTCGAACGCATAATTCTCCAGGTTCATTATATCCTAATTCTATTATTATTAATATAAAAAAATTATATAAATAAATAAATTAAATTAAATTAAATTGATTAAACAAAATATATAAAAAAACGGTTACCTTTCCCACTAAATGATATCACTTTAGCTTCCATATTTGGAAACAATTTTCCCACAGAACCTAAATAAATTAATCAATTAATGAATAATAAATGAATAATTGATGAATAATTAATTGATATACAGTACTTACCGTGAACCATAATATTGTCATCTCCCAAAGTTACAACTGGTGATGTTTCCGTAAGGCCTAATAATAATAGAATAAAATATAATAAATATATTAATAAAATATAATAAATATATTAATAAAATATAATAAATAAATATATAAATAATATAATAATAATAATAATATATAAATAATAACATAATAATATTTACCATATCCTTGTTTAATAGGAATTTTAGTAGATGCATAAAATTTATTACATAATTCTTTACTTAAAGGAGCAGCACCACTGACCACCATTTGTAAACTTGATAAATCATAATCTTTTACAATTGGACTTTTAACCAATAATAATACTATTGGAGGAACGATATGAGCATAATTGATTTTATGATCTTGAATTAAACGACAAAATGTTGATAAATCAAATTTTGGAAGAATAATTGTAGATGCTCCCTAATATTAATTAATTTATAAATAATAATAAAAATATAATAATAAATAATAATAATAATAATAATAATAATAATAAATATTAATAAAAATAACAATAAATATTAATAAATACCAAATATATCACATAATGTACGAGAATGTTTAATCCATAAATATGAAAGAATGGTAAAACTCCCATAAGTTTCGAATTGCTATCCAAAATAGTTTCAAAACTATGAAGTTGCACTACATTAGATGCCATATTAGTATGAGTTGTTTCGACTCCTTTTTGTATACCCGTTGTACCGGAACTATAGCATAAATAAGCTGTGGTAGATTTAGCTTCTTCAAAAGTATATTCAATTGGTTTAAATTCTTCTTCTTCATTATTTGAAATTAATAAAGTACTAAAAGGTTGAAATCCATCAATTTCCTTATCACCAAATAATAATATATGTGATTGGGGAATTTCAAGTTTTTTGGCTGCTTCTTTAACTGCCGAAAGACAAAATGGATGAACTACTATAATTGATGAATTAGAATCTGAAAATTGATATTCAAATTCATTTGCTGTGTATAATGGATTAACCAGAGTTACTTTTCCTCCTATTAATAATTTAAATTATTATAAATTAATTAATAAATAATTTTTATTAATATTGTAAAAATATTATTATCATATTGTAAATTAAATAAACAAATATTTCTGTATTTCTATATTTACCAGCTGCAATTGTACCAAAGACTACTACAGGATAATCAACCTTTAAAAAATAATTAACAATAATAATTAATAATAATAACTTGATATTGAATCGATATTGTTAATAATAATTTATTGTATTTACCTCATTAGGTGAAATAAGAGCTAAAACGTCACCTCGTTTAAAGTTAAATTTATCAATTAATCCGGCTGCAAATTTTTTAGTGTTTCTTTTTAATTCACCAAAAGTAAGTTTTTTTTCCGTAATCCCGTCAACAAATATAACTTTATCATCGGGTACTTTGTTAGGATTACTTGTGACAAATTGATATATTCCTGTGGTTGGAATATCAACATCTGGAAATTTTGATTTGAATATCATTCTTTTTTACTAGATTTTTAATTAATTTAATTCAATAATAAGTTTTATGATCTTTTTTTTTTTGCAAAGAATGTACCCGAAGTTTTTATAGAGAACTTATTTCGACTTTTCCGTGAAAAAAAAAATTATTTCATGGTGCTCCGTGAAAAATAACTACTTTGGTTAAAATATATGTATATATATATTTACCATTTTCGTACATTACATTGCACTATGCACTTTGGACAAATGTTACAATTACATAACATAATCTTCGTACATTATATTATGCATAACATAATCTTCGTACATTATATTGTGCATAACACAATATCTTTGTTGATTTCCTTTTTTTTTTTTATTCATTGAACAATATTTTTATCATTATTAAATGAGATAACTAGAAAGGTCTGATGATTTACGGCGGCCGCTGGGAGTGATAAGGGATTGTCATGTGCAAATGTGTTATGTTACATTTAAATTTTTCGATAAATCTAAATGTAACCTAGGAAAATAGGGTCGGAAATTTTCAAAAAATATTTATTTTTAGGATGAATGTAAATGTCGAGAAAATGGAACTGGAAATTTTCGAAATATTTTACTTTATAAAATGATTATTTTCTAACAAAGCTTAATCTTTACATTATTTAATAGAAAATATTTTAATTAACATAAAAAAAATAATACTCGAGTATATACATTTCGGAATAAATCTATTTGACACCAGTAGTGATTGTCGCCAATACATAATTCACTGATCATAACTTTGGTAATTTTGCCCAACGATGACTATCACCAGCGGTGACAAGTATACTATTTAAACTAAATTTTTAAAGAACATAAGAAAAATTTTATTAGTTAAAATTTGTGCAAATTTTTGGACACCTTCGAAATAGTCCCACGAAAATTTTTTTGAACACTACATTATTTTGAAGGTGTCTGAAATATGCACAAATTTTCACCTATTAAGATTTCCTGATGTTCTTAAAATATCCTGATGAATAAAAAATTGAAAGTATATATATATAATTTATCTTTAGCAAACTTAAGATTCAAGTAATTTCACACATTCTGAACAATTTTAATTAGTCGCTTACGGGCAGTTTACTTTGACTAATGTGTTGAAATTATGTCACAAATTTCTGGATGTAAAATAGAATTGTAAAAAAATTCTTGAATATTTATAATTAAAGAAAAATAATCCTTCAATCCGTTTGTAAGTCAGCTTAGTGAAACTAATATTCAAGTACTTTTATACCTTCTGAATAGTTGAATAGTTCTAATCAGTTGCTCAAAGGCAATTTACTTTGGCCAATATGCTGAAATTATGTTATAAATTTCATAAAGTGTAAAAAAATTTGTAAGTATATGTAATAAAAGATTTGTGAGTATTTTGATACATTTATAAGTCAGCTTAGTGAAAACATAAATTCATGTAATTTCATACCTTCTGAACAATTTAAATAGTTGCTCAAAGACAGTTCACTTTGATCATGTGTTTACACATTCCTAGAAGTAAAATAGAAGTATAAAAAATTTGAGAGTATTTGTAATTAAAGAAAAAAAATCTTTTGACTTATATACATTAAGTCAGCCTAGAAAATAAGATCAAGTAATTTTATTTCTTCTGAACCATTTTAATTAGTGGCTTACTTTGATGAAAGTGTTAAAATTATGTCATAAGATATAAAGAATTGTTCTTGAAAAAACATCAATGTTTCGTTGTATTTGCAAAGCAAGTAAAGAAAAATTCAATTGATACTGATTTACTTTGACAAAGTTAACTATTTCAAAATAAGAAACAAATAAACAAATCCATTTTAATAAAAAAAAATTCACATGTTACTTAAATCCTCAAGTTACAAACTATATGTTATTTGATTTCGAGGTTGTTACATTTAACAGGTGATACATTAATCCTAAATTTCTTTAAACTTTTAAATTGTTATTAAATTTTTTTTTTTAATAAAAATTTGTGGCATCCAAATTTGAATAAACATATTGATAAGTGTTTCATTATTTAAAGATTTAATTATTGATGCCCTTGCAAAGGTCTGAGATGAGAGAGATAATTGTTGGGATGAAAATGAAAATTGATATTATTATTTATATTTTCACCTTTCTTTGTGATGCCGTATGACTTAAGAATCTGATATTTTCATTTTTGATGTTTTTTTTAACTTTTTTAATTAAAATTTTTATTCCATTAGAATTTTTTATTAATTTATCAAAATAATTGACAATTTAAGATTATAAATCATTTAATTTTTTCGAATTTATCTTAAAAACTCAGAAATTTATGTCTACATAAAAATGAATAATTATAGAGTTCAAAAATTTTGTACCAAGTTAAGATTATATTTTGAAACATAAATTATTGATCAATCTTTTAGCTTTTAACGCCTACACAAAAATAAAAGCAGTATATTTAAAAATTAAAAATTTTGGTTAGAGAAATTTATATTTTTACTAAAAATAATTTTACATAATGGTAAAAGCAAACTATAATAAAGATCATACAGATAGTTTGGATAATGAATTTCTTGTGCTGTGTAATTTTTTCAACTGTTAATGAAATTGAAAAATATGTTATATATTTACCCAGATCCTTTTTTTTTATTTAGGCAATTTAAATTATATATTAAATATTTTTTATTTTATTTTTAGTAGACTTATATTTGCAAAATTATTTTATTTATAAGATATTTATTGCTTACCTGATATCTTTCTTGGGAGTTGAGGCAAGATCGTTATTTATTATTATTTTTTTAATACTTGGGATTGATGATAGTTTAGGGGTATAGGTCATTTTTGTACATGAGTTGTTATTTTGTAACTACATTGAAAAATTTATAAAAATGAAAGAATTTATGTCATTATTATGGCATGCACGTTGTTATCTGTATAAACCTTCTACAATTTACAAAGACAACGGGATAAAATAATACTAAAACTAATAAATAAAACTAAGTATAACTATAA